CGACATGACCTACTGGCACAGAGGCAAAGGCTGAGAGACAATTTAGCTGAAGCCGAGGACGATGAGGTGGAGGCCGTGATAACAACATTAAAAAAATATTGTCGACACATCTACAGCGAGAGAGAAAGCAAGAGTGGGAAACTTATCAGGCAGAGCTCATTGAGGAAATGTGGCGAGCTTGGAAGGATAGACAAATGGCACAAGTTCATAACCTTGCTCGACGCGCTGCCAGTTGCAAATATGGCGTCACGCGTAGACCATATCTGTCGGTGAAGACAAATGGCTTGAGTACCGCACAATGGCTAGAATGTTGGAGCAAACCAGGAGCTGGTGGAGGTATGCTGGCACGACATGTACCTGACTGGTTTCAAGAACGTCGGCAACGACACGATCTGAATGCCACGGTGGAGGGACTCGACGAGGATTTCAGAAGGGATGCGAAAGGTGACCTGAGGAGACTGACCTACTGGGCCCAACGGGCCCCAAAGCGGAAGGCTTGCCCGCCATGGTCGGCTCCGCTCGAATTACTGGCGATCCTCCTGGCCCCCGAGGCCCACCCGGAAAAGCAAATTGCTGGAATAGGCACCGAGCTCCCTCCTCTAGAGGCCCCGCTTTTTCGCTCAGCTTTGGAAGATGGGTTTGTAAAAATCACGCAATCCCAACGGACCCCATCTTTTTGGCACGTCTGCCTTGGAATTAGTTGGCCCAAGAAGGCGGATCTCAATGATATAGGTGACACCTCTTTAGGAATGCGCACTGTGCACCTTCTCCAAACTATCGGGAAAGGTTGGTATTATATAAATAGCGTGCCCCCAGATATGCCCAGTCAGGTTTACGGCCTACTCCCAGGCAAATGCAAATAATCCGCCATTGGGGGAGCCACGATAGGGATCTGGAGGGCCAAGGAATGTGGTAGATCTGTTCTCGCGCACATGCATGATCTAAGTAACGCATTTGGCAGCGTGCACTGGGACGCCCTTACAGAAGCTACTGACACGGTCATGCGAGAGGGCCTTTCGCCCCAGGGTTGCCAGAGATTTCAGGAGGCGGTAGTTGGCCTTCCTCTTCCATGCCCAGGGGGTCGCACCTTTTTAAAACATCGGATGTGGAGCTTTCATGGGGGACCCTCTGGTAGTGCGACAGTTTGTGCATGCCTTTTCAACCCAGTGCCAATCAGTGGCAGCAGCTAATGCGAGTTAGGAATTGTGATGCTGACGAGTTTTGTGCCACTGACCTTTTTCTCAGGACGCCAGCTGGGCATGCCAGTGTTTTCAGTATGCAGATGACTTTCTTAAGATGCTGTTGTCACGAGTCGATGAGAGGCTCGCGGATTTCACTGCACGTTCGTATTTGGCTAACACGTGCTTAGGCGAGGCTCTTGCCACGATTGGATGTAAACAAAATCGCTGAAAAAAACAAGAGATTGTTCCCGTTTTTACAGGCCAGGGCCGCACGCGCGCAGCAGAATGTCTGCGCAGTGGAGTCCTTCCCCTTTCCGCTAAACACATTGTTTCTGATTGGTGCTTGGGCGCGCGGGTTGCTGCGAGCTCGAGTTTTGCTCCGTGGCTAAAAAACGCAAACAGGTTCCATTGATTGCGCGCGAAGCTCTGGGGGGGGGTTCTGGTCGCGCCCCCACCAACCCTGGAAGGCGAGGATGAGTATGTTGATCTGTTGCGTGCATAACACACTCTTCCATGGAGCGGAGGCCTATGTACTCAGCCCCGCCCAATATAATGCTCTAGACAGAGCCACGGCACATTATGCACGTAAAGCAATGCAGGGCGCTGCGCATGTTTTAGAAGTTTCAGATGATGTAGAAATTCACAGAAGCATGAGCACGAGCGAAGTACTTAGATACTGGCGCATAGCGCTTGCACATCTCGAGATGCAAATACGTCGACTAAAACGAATACAACAATGTGCTGCACGACCTTGGAGGCACGCGCAGTTTCTCGCGGCCGTCTTCGGAAAGTACGACTTTGAGCAGCACGACGCGGCCATCAATAATGATATCACGCACGACGCAAATTCTCGGGCTAAGCAGATGAAGCAGGATATCCTGGAGGGGTTCAGAAGATGGACGATGAGGGGGGCTTCCTGGGCACCATCCTGAGGCAGGGGTTCCTGGAGCTGTTTCGGGACATCGACCTCGCATAATTCAATATGTTCGACTTCGATCGTCTCAGGCAAGGAGCTTACGCGGCCATGGTTCCACCTCCAGAGTACAGAGCAGCCCCCGTTCCTGAGGCCCCAGAGGATGATCCAGCAATGCCTGTGCACGCTGAAGATTCTAAATCATGGGTCCGTGGGTTTATGACGGAGGCAGGAGAATGCGATAGATGGTTTGGAAGTTTCAAAGAAGTTAATCAACGCAGATTGTCAGCTCACGGCGTCAGAGATCCTTGGATGCAGATTATTTCGACAAACGTGTGCCCATACTGTCTCGCGGAACAGGCAGACGTTAGTCGAGCTCAGAAGCATGTTATGGATTCATTGTGCAGGGGTGGGGAGTGCATTACCAATGCGAGATATTACGGCGGAAGGCGCGATCCAGATCGCAAAAGTTGCCACCTGTGTGAATATGTCGGCTCGACCTTTGAAGATCTGCAGAGTCACCTGCAGACGCGCGCCCCTCCGCTTACATTCTTTGCTGATGGACTTGGAGGCTCCGTCTTGGGCTCTCAAGCGGCGAGCAGACGGATCAGGAACGGGGGGGCGCCCACAACGCAAGACGCGGAAGCTTGCCGACTTGGCGGGCAGCGAAAACCTCAAGTCCTTGGCGAAGTTGATCGCGGTGCTCACGCGCCTCGCGCTGACCGGCGCGGCGGAGCTGAGGGGGCTGACGGGGGTGTTGTGGCGCGCCATGCTCCTTCCCGCAGACTGCGCGGTGGCAGGGGGGCAAAGGCAGAGGGCATCACATATCGCGATAGGGCGCAGGAGGCAAAAAAGGATCCAGAGAAGTCAGAGGCTTTGGGGCTGCCCGATCCGTGCATCTTCATGGCGGCGTTGAAGGCGCTGGCGAGCCTGGCGGAGAAGCTGTCCGAGACGGAGAAGGGGGCCCCGGAGAGCTTCTGGGCGACCAGAGTGGCGGCAGCCAAATCGGTGTTGGACTTGGCAGAGGTAGTTCTTCACTGCAAGGTGAAACCAGTCAAAAAAAGGAGGGAGGAGCCGACAAGGTGAATATCAGCTTCGCCATCAAGACCACCCACACGGAACTGGAGGCAGTAATCATCAAGGGGCTGAAGCTGATGGGCCGTCAGGCAAAGGTGGGGCCAGCGCCTCGCGGACCCCTCGAGCGACTGGCCCAGGGGCTACTGACGGAAGTGGAGGGTGGAGACGGCGGCAGTTGAGCAGCACACAGCAGGTGATGATCGGGCGCCACTCGGTGAGACTCTTGAGCTTGGTGCAGGCTGGGCACGTCTCTGTTCAGGCAGCGCTTGCGCTAGCCTCCAGCACCGCGCCTATTGCTCCAATTCGGCGAGTTGATGCGCAGGCGCCCGCCAGAGGGAAGGGGGGGGTCGGACGTCGTCGAGTCGGGGGAGGGGTCGGGGAGGATGGAGAGGATTGCATTTGGTCTCATCGCTTGTGCATTCGCTTTCTCCCCTCCCGCTGCCTCTTCCCCTCAAGCCTTTCTGCCGTGAACGTTTCATGGCCGCCTGGGTGCACGCTGCCGGCGGCTGGGTTCTCGGGGCGCTCTCCGAGCGCTGGACCGGGGCTGGCCGCAGCGGGGTCGCCGAGGTCTCCTGCCGCTGCGTGTTCGAGGGCTCGGACACGACCGACGGCCTGGTGGCCATCCTCCGGGAGCAGCTGGCACGCTGCGGCCCGGAGCACCTGCAGGGGGTCGCGTGCCGGCCCTGCCCTCCGTGCCCGCTTCCGCCTGGGCACTACACGGGGCTCGACCTCTGCGGCGCGGCCGTGGTGGGCGTGGCCCTTGGCGCTGGGCTGGCGACAGCGGCCTGGCTGGCGGCCGGAGCGCCGGGTCGGCCGGCGGTGCGAGCGCGGGCCCTCGCCGTCGAGGACGACGCCGGCGGCGCGCACGTCGACGCCGTCGGCTCTCGGGCGAGGCCGGCGGGCTCCTGGCGCCCGCGCTGACTGAGGGCCGCCATGGCCCGAGCGCTGGACACGCCGTTCTGCCAGTGCCTCGTCAGGTACGAGGACGACGAGAACTTCCAGTGGCATCTTCGTGTGCTGTTGGTGTAAGGAGATGCCCAGAAGTGGATCTGGCTCACGCCGGACGGGGAGGTGGCCTTCGTCGACCTGGCCACCTTTCGGGTGCTGGCCCTTCGGCGGTCGGGCCCGTTCCCAGCACGGCATGCTGGGAACATCTACGCCTTCGACGAAGTGGCGGCGGAGGACATGCAGGGCTACCTCGAGGAGGCCAGGGCCCTGGGCACGATCCTCGGCTTCGACCTCGCCGGCGTCGTGGGCCTCCTGGGCGACAAGTGGTACGTGAGCGACCCCACCTCGTCGCACTTCGGCGAGGAGGTGCCGCCCCAGGTGCTCGCCAACGAGGAGGTCCTGGTGCGGCGTGGGGATGTCGGGCTCGTCCGGCTCGACGACGTCTGGGTCCACGCGATCAAGGTGAGCGAGGGCCAGAACTTCGACGCGTACCTCGCGAGAGCTCGCGGGGGCGCTGGCCGGGACCCGCGTGTCGTTGGCGACGAGAGGGACCAGGACGGAGGCAGGTACATCGACTTCCGCGACTCGGTCCGCCGCATGAAGGAGACGACGATCCCGGGCTGGCCTCTGCAGGGCCGCCGTGCCACGAGGGAGGCTGTGCTCTCCCTTCGCGACGGAGGTCAGGGCAACTGGGAGGAGCACCACGCCACGTGGCTCCGACGCAGCGGAGTGGCCGAGCGCGGCAACGTGGCCCGCGAGCACCACATGATCTGCGTGTCTCTTCGGATGATGCAGCAGTTCGATCAGCTGGACCTGTTCAACATCGCGGGCGCGGAGTACCTCGTCAGGCGGCTCAAGCAGCTGGAGTCGGCGACCCGCAAGAACCCTCGGGCTCCCGACTTCGAGGGGCTGGACCTCATCCTCGACACGGGGGTCGACGACACGGGCGGCATGGTGCTGCCGGAGTTCGACGGATGGGTCGGCGATCAGGCGCGCGCCCGCGCCCAGACCATGAGTGCGAATCGGCAGTGGCAGGAGGAGAGGACGGCCGCGCAGCCCAAGGCGCCCCCGAAGGGGCCGAAGGGCGGCGGGGCCGACGCTGGCAAGTAGCAGGGGGCCGGCTGGCCCCCTCCTTGGGCTGGGCGTCCTGCGGCGCCCCGCCCTGCCTGGCTGCCGCCGCGGGTTCCTCCGCCGCGGCCGCCTCCACGTCCTCCCCATGGCATCGGGATCACGCTCCTCGCACGGGGACCCGCTGCCGCTTTCGGTCCCGGGGCCTGGCCCGCCGGTCGACCTCAGCGGGGCGCCGCGGTACCTGCGCCAGCGGGTGCTCCAGCGACGCTCTCGTGAACACCGTGTTCGTGAGGCAGTTCACTCGATCAACTGTCTCGCCGCCTGCACGGTGCGCCATCGTGGCCGCGGGCCAGGTGGCGCTGCCGATTCAGGGACTTCGGGTACGGCGACCTCGTCCTCGCGCGGCCGGCAGCTCGGCCGCTGCGTGGCGGAGTACGGCCCTCGCCCGGCAGATCTCCACCCTCGTGGAGCCCTTCAGGAGCTCCTCAAGTCCGACTCGCTCTACGGAGGCGCGCCGTCCAAGGTCGTCCCGTACGAGGAGTCCAAGCTCAAATTCTGGCAGTCCTCGGTCACGCCTCGAGACGCGGAGGAGGTCTGCCCCAAGTTCGTCGTCGACGCCTTCCGCGACCCCGACGCCTACATCCGCAAGCCGGACCGCGCGGTGGAGCAGGACCTCGAGCTCCTGCCGCCGATCAAGCCGTACTGGGACGCGCGGCTTGCCAGCGACGCCCGCCTTCGGCGGGACATCCTCCTCAGGCTCGCGGGGCGGGGGTTGGTCGGCTTCCGGAGGCGGATCAGGTCACGCGTGGGGTGTTTCTTCGTCGAGAAGAAGGGCGGCTGGATCCGCCTGGTCGTCGACGCTCGCGACACCAACCGCACCCACTGGGCGCCCCCGCATGCCGCCCTCGGGACCCCGGCTGCCCTCAGCGAGCAGGACTGGTCCGATGCTGCGCTCGCGGACGCCGGATGGGTTAGTGCTGACGGCTCGCCTGCTCAGATCTTCGGGTCGTCCCTCGACCTCCAGGACTCGTTCTACCAGTTCTTCTCGGAGCGCGTCGCGGAGGACTTCGGGATGGACTTTCCTGAGCGGGCGTCCTACTACCAGGTCTCCCACATCTGGACGCCCGACGGCCTGTCCCCTGTCGACCCCGACGAGCTCGTGTTCCCGGTCTTCCGCGGGGTGCCGATGGGGTGGTCATGGGCACTCTGGGCCGTGCACTCGTCCGTCACGTCCTGGGTCTCGGACACGCTGCCGGGGGGTGCCCGACGCCTGCTGCTTGACAAGCAGCCGGCTCCCGTCGCGGCACCCTTCCGCCCCACAGGGTCGGTCTACGTGGACAACGTCTCGTTCCTGGGCCTCTCGAGCGACGACGTCGGGCACGCGCTGCAGGCCGCGAAGGACAAGCTCGACTCGCTCGGCATCGCGTACCACGAGGTCGAGGGCCCGGCCACGCACTTCACCACCGTCGGCGTCGAGTACGACGGGAGGCGGAGGCGTCTGCGGCATTCCGATCACCGAGCCTGGCGCCTCTACTTGGCCTGTCAGGAGCTCGAGCGCCCTGGGGTTCCGCGCGCGGCCTGGCAGATCCGAGTGTTCCTCGGGCATTGTGTGCAGCACTGCCTGCTGCTGCGGCCGGCCCTCTCGATCTTCCGCCTGCTCTACCGCTTCGTGGACGCGCAGGGTCAGGGGCCTCCAGTCGCACTGTCTGCTGGGGCCCGTCGGGAGATCCAGCTCTTCAGGGGCCTCATCTTCCAGGCCGTCGTCTTCTTGGACCGGCCGATGTCCTCCCTGGTTTTGTGCTCCGACTCGTCCGAGGCAGGCTACGCCCTCCATCGCCGACGCGCTGACGTTCGACTCCTTCGGCAGCTGGCTGCTACCCGGGAGAGGTGGAGGTTCGTCCCCGACGAGAAGCGGCCCGACGCGGCGCTCGACGACACCTTCTCCCCGGGCTGGGTGCCTGGCGCTGGAGGGGTGCTGGGAGAGCCGCCGGGCGCTACAGGCGTGGCCGTCTGGGCCCCGCCGCCGACGCGCTCGAGGGAGGGCGCCCGAGGCGTGCTCAAGGGCCGTCTCAGACCCACTGTGCGACCTGCTGGCGTCTCCGTGCCCGACAGCCTCGTCGATCCCAGGGACTGGTCTCTCATCGTCGAGGGCGCCTGGCGCCGCGCGGCCCCCATTCACCTGCTGGAGGGCCGCATCGCCCTGGGCGGCCTGCGGCACGCCGCCCGGCAGGTCGACTGCCACGGCTCCCGAGTGCTCAGCCTGGGCGACAACATGTCGGAGCTCCTCTCCATCGAGAAGGGGCGAGCCGTGGACCTCGGCCTCGCTTGTCTGTGCCGGAGGGCCGCCGCCTACCAGATCGCCTGCGGGATCTCCTGGCGGCGCCGGCACCTCGACGCGGACCGCAACCTCAGTGACGCGGGGTCGAGGAAGGCGCTGCAGGGCGTCTACCGCCCAGGACAGCGGCGGGTTGGCGGCAGGTCGGAGAGGCCCGCTCTGCCCGCTGGGTGCCCGCAGTCGGCGCCCCCGGCGCCGGCCCCGCCGGCGCCCTCGGCGATCGCCAGCTGGCCAGTCGCCGAGGAGGCTTGCGAGCCTCCCCCCGCGGCGCGGCTGCGCGGCGGCCGACTGCAGACCTGCCCGCCGCGGCCGCCGCCGCGGGCCTCTGGGGCCGCTGGCCGCTGCGGGCCGCGGCGCGCCCCGCGGCCACAAGAGGGGCCCGCAGCCGGCGCCCCTGGCCACCCTGCACGCAAGGCGACGTTCGACGAGGCCGAGGGGGCCCGCGACCCGTCGCCGCCTGCGGCCTGCCCACGCGGGCGCCGCCCACGGCCGCGGCCAGTGCCTTCGCCGCGGCCTGCTGGGGCCCTCGGACGAGTCGGACGGAGACTCGTGCCGGGGCCTCGGCACCTCTCTTCCGAGCGGGCCCCGCCACGTCTGGGCCGCTCCGGGCTGCGCACGCGCGTCGGGAGCGCGCCGCGCGGGCCGCCTGCCCTCGGGAGCCTTCGCTTGCATGCCCGGCCTGGCCGAAAATGGGCGACCAAGCCTCCCGGGCTGCCGCCCCCTCCGCCCATGCCGTTCGTCGCGGTCGAGCCGGCTCGTGTTCCTGTACCTCGGCTTCGTGGACGTCGGGCGGCTCTCGAGATCTTCTCGGGGGGGGCTCGCTGGACGGGGGCTCTCGCGCAGCTCGGTCTGGCTGTCGCGGCTCCGATCGACATCAAGTTCGGGGGTTGGGGCGACCTGCTTCGGCCCAGCATCGAGACCGTCGTTCGCCAGTGGATCGTCTCTCGCAAGGTCTGGTTCGTGCACTTCGGGACTCCGTGCACTCCGTGGTCAGTTCCTCGCCGTGGGGCCAATGATACGTCTGCTATACGCGCCGGTCGGCGGTGTGCTCATGTCACTCTTCGTCTACTTCGCTTGTGCGTTCAGTTCGGCGTCAGGTGGTCCCTCGAGAACCCCCGGGGATCCCGGCTCTTCTCTTGGGAGCCTCTCCAGAAGTTCCTGTCCGAGCATAGCAAGGTCTCCGTGGTGTATGACTGCTGTCAGTTTGGAGCCCCGTACCAGAAGCCCACCAGGATTGAGTCTGACCTCCCCGAGCTCGGTATCCTTGAAAGGCGTTGTCTTGGAGGTCATGCCCACGAGCATCTTCAGGGGAAGGTCAAGGTCCGTGATCGCCAGGGTCGGCTCAAGCAGTTCTGGCGCACGACCCTGGCTGGCGCCTACCCTCCTGGTGTCTGCCACAGCGCCGCTCGGGCCTTGGCGCGCGCGGCGCCCGCGGGAGCCTGGCGACCAGATGGGGATCCACTGCTGCCCGGTCACTGGGAGACTCAGCTCCGCCGTGCAGCCAAGATGGACGACGTCCAGCCGTCCCTCGAGTGCCCCAGCTGCCCGCGGAAGTGGGTCGCGCTCTGGCCGCCCGACGCCGAGGGCTGGGGCCGCTTCGTCGGCCTCCCGCGGCCGCGGGCAAGGCCGAAGCCTCGGCAGAGGCCGGGCGTCGGCTGCCCGGGCCCGCCAGGTGCCTGCTGACTCCTCGCCGGGCTTCCTGCGGCGCTCGCAGGTGCGGCCGGCCACTCAGGCCCGCTACCTCGCCAGCGTCGTCGTGTTCGCCACGGCCATGGGCGTTGTCGCCGACCGCTGGGTGAGCAAAGACCTCCCCCTGGTGGACACGCTCCTCGAGGAGTACTTCGAGCAGCTCTACGTCGACGGCGGCAGCAAGAGCACGGCCCGCTACACCTTGGCCGCCTTGGCCTACCGTTTCAGCGTGTCGCTTCGTGCCCCAGACGTCTTCCCGAAGGCGAAGGGCGCCCTCGCCGGCTGGGGCCAGCTCGAGCCGGACGTCACCTCGGAGCCGCTCTGCTGGGCGGCAGCGTGCTTGATGGCCCTATACCTGGCCGGCCTCAACACGGAGATTGCCCTGCAGGCCGCCCGCGGCCTGGTGGTACAGTTTGACACGTACTTGCGCCCTGGAGAGCTGCTGGACCTTCGCGTGCCCTGCTGCATCCTGCCGCAGCCGAGTGCCGGCTCAGGCTACAACAAGATGGGGCTCGTCGTCGGTGCCTCCGCGCTGGTCATGGGCGACGACGTGCACACTCGCGTGACCAAGACTGGCCTCCAGGACGACACCGTGCTCATCGATGGCCAGTCTCGTGCTGGCGTGGCTGGCGCTCTCATGGCCCTCGTCAAGAGCGCCAACCAAGCCCGCCAGGGGCGCCTCATGTTCCTCCACTCGTACGCTTCGTACAACCGCTTGCTCAAGAAGGCCGCCGTCGCCGTCGGCCTCCCGACCAAGGTGACGGCCCACCTCCCTCGGCACGGCGGTCCGTCGGAGGACTACCTGAGAGGCGCCCGTTCGCTGGCCGACATTCAGTCTCGCGGCAGGTGGTCGAGCTTCCGTTCTGTACAGCGCTATCAGAAGAGCGGCCGTGCACTTGCTTCTTTCAGACGCCTCTCGGCCGCTGTGAAGGCAGAGGCTAAGCGTGCAGAGGCCATGCAGTTATCCTTCCTCTCGTAAGTTGCCTCTCAGCGCTCAGCCTGCTGCAGTGTTCCCTCGGCAAGCCAATGGAGTTGATACGGGATTTACTCCAGCGTTCGATATGGGTTTGATTTCAGGTCTGGCCAGACTGTCAGATTTCTCGAGCTCCTCGGCCGTGTGGGCCAGTGGGCTCTCAGTGTTTCAGCTCTGCCGTCAGCCGCCATCGCAAGTGTACTCAGGTGTGGGCCTGAGCTCTCGGCGCTGCAAAAAGAAATGAAAGTCCTCGTCACGCCAGCTGTCTTTTTCCGTTAGGCTGACGCCGTTCCGAGTCTCTTGGGACCCACGCCCTGGGAGGGGTGTCCGTTCAAGATTGCATTGCATTTGGTCTCATCGCTTGTGCATTCGCTTTCTCCCCTCCCGCTGCCTCTTCCCCTCAAGCCTTTCTGCCGTCCCGCCCTTCCCACCCAGGGAAACGCTGGAGTGGAAGGCAAAGTAGCTTGGACTTCTGCGAATTCGGGTTTGATTTCAGGTCTGGCCAGACTGTCAGATTTCTCGAGCTCCTCGGCCGTGTGGGCCAGGGGCTCTCAGTGTTTCAGCTCTGCCGTCAGCCGCCATCGCAAGTGTACTCAGGTGTGGGCCTGAGCTCTCGGCGCTGCAAAAAGAAATGAAAGTCCTCGTCACGCCAGCTGTCTTTTTCCGTTAGGCTGACGCCGTTCCGAGTCTCTTGGGACCCACGCCCTGGGAGGGGTGTCCGTTCAAGATTGCGTAATTTTTTGTGCGAAAATGTTTTTGATAGGACAGGCTCACTAGCTTGTCAGCAGATGCGTTGTCGTGGGAAATTCGTTCTTGGGGCTCTGAGCCTCGTCTCCCTGGAGGGTGCTGAATGGCCCCTGAGGCTAAATGTCGGCTAACCAGGGCGCTGTAGCCAGCCCGTGTGCGCATCCCGTACCAGCGCAGTTGCAGCCAGTACCCTCTATAGCAGGTACTCAGAGCACGTCCCACTTTGGCTAAATTTGTCATGCAGTTCGGCTCAGTGCCGAAACGAGCTTTTTGCAACGATGCAAAGTGGACAATCGGACATCGCTCTTAGAGTTGTTGAGTTGAGTTGAGTCGTCGTCGTCGTCAGCATAGTACGAGCATAGCAAGGATGAGCCGCTTCCCAAGATTGCCCTTGCATCCTTCCTATTCGGCCCATCTTTGGCCGCTTTCGCTGACCGCGCTCCGCTCGCAAGGTGTCGACATGGCTTTCCGAGGCCCTTGCGTCCTCATCGTGCGTCCTTCTTATACGGGCTGACTGCGTTCGTCCTATGCTTTTCCACCCGCTCCAGTGCGCCCGGTGTCCGGCGCGGCCCTTCGGCTCTGCAGTCGCGCTCGCGTCCGCCAGCGCTGCGAGCAGAACGAGGTGTGCACCGTGCCGCCTTGGCGTCTCCCGAGGCGCCGAGGCTCGACCCGTCGGGCGGGGTTGGGGCGAGGATGAATCCGTTCCAGAGCGCTCCGGATTCAGAGCGTTCTGGAACCTTTTGAGAAGGCCTCGGCGCCCCAGAGATCCTCCAGAGCCACCAGGTCTCAGAGATTCTCGGTTCGTCCTCGCTCGAGCTTATCCTCGTCCTGGCATCGTCTTCGCCCTGGAGCGGTGCGGTGCACAGGTTCGCGGCCACCTGCGGGCGAAGACGATCGCGCTTCGCGCGTCGCGGGGCTTGGGTTGGAGAGGCGCCCTTCTCCAGGGCGGCGGCGCGAGGGCGCGAAGAAAACTGCGAGTCTCGCCTCGCGGTGCGCGAGCGCGAAGTTAGTTGAGCTAGACTGTGCACCGTATCGCGTTGGAGCTGGGCCTCCGGGGAGCCCGAAAGCACGGCGCGGTGCACGGGCGCCGTTCTCGTGTCCCTGGGGGCGTGGCCTCGCCCATCGGCACGAGGCGGCGCGCGCGGGGGGGCACCGCAGATCCGAGGGGGGTGCGCCACGTCGCGTGCTTCGTTCCAGGCCTCCCACTTGAGGTCCGTGACGTTGCATTTTCAGGCGCCTGTCCCCGAAACCGGTGTCTGTTTTTGTGCCCGACGCGTGCTCGATGCGGCCTCGACGCGGATTTGGCGTGTATCCGACGCGGATTCGACATGGAGTCGACACGGATCCGACGAAGCCTACATGGATTCGACCCGGATGGGGCCGCGGCGGGACAGACAAGGTCCCCCGAGGATGCAACATAGGTCCGAGAAGATGGGGCGCGCTGGGGTCGGAGGATCTAGCGCCGCGTCGCCGATGCGGCTCGATGTGGAGCTTGGTTTGCTCCGCGCTGGCGTCGCCGATGCACATCCGACGTCGCCGATACATCGGCGATATATCAGCGATGCGGCGCGATCCTCCAGCCCCACCGACCCAGACCCCATCCAGGAGACCCCTGTCCGCACACCCATACGAACGCACGCCGCCGCCTGAACCACGCCCCGACAGCATCGGCATCCTGCCTCGGCATCGGATCTCGCCCGTCCTCTTCATACAGGTCACCCGCGGGGGAGGTCGCGTGTCGTGCGTCGCGGCCCGAAGCAAAACGGCTGCCTGTCTCCAGGGGGGGGGCGCGGGGGCGCGAAGCTGATCGCGCATCTTGGGGTGCGAGGCGCGAAGTTTGGTGACCTGGGGCATCCCCGCGTCTCGATTCGGCTCGGGGTATTGGGACAAGGACGGGTCGGTCAACCTCGGCGCCGTGGATTGTTCCACATCGGCGAATCTGAAGGTCTTCCAGCCGACGTTTACGTGCTTCGTGAATTTGCCTGTCTGGCTTTTGTGGCTAGCTTTCGACAACTTGGCTGCGCAATCGCCAAGGACCAAGATGGACCAGGATCCAAGGTGTGGTTCGTACATGTTCGTACGTGCGAAGAGAACCCGGCGATATGTAACTAAAGGTCGTTTAGTTGTTCGAACGATGATCAAGTAGGTACATGATGTTTCATTGGCGATCGTCGGCGGCATGCGTGGTTAAGTTCAGCGTTTTGGTTGCAAACTCCTAAGTGTTAGTAGCAGCTGTGGCTGCATGTGTTAATTCGAGCTCGTTGGCTCCCATGTGGTTGCGCATTGCACTCGGAGTTTTCATAACAGTTTGAGTGTTCGGGCTGAGACTGAGTGGTCGGACGCAGGTCCGTCGGGCTTCGAATTCGTTTCCGAGGGGCATGTCAACACCCTGTGTCGACACATTCGTTGAGTTCAATGCTGTAGTACCAACGTCTTGCGCAGCTTGACGTCAATGTCAAAGCGCCCCACTCCGCTGCTGTGGCTCACGCAAGCACCCGCATGAATATGTTGCTTCAGCTCCTCTCTCTCGGGACGAGTCTGCGCGCGGAGATGGATCCAGTTTCGTACCCCCTCGCCTGCAACACCCTCGCGCTCCCCTGTGATTTGCCGCCGAGCATCGCTGCGGTTCGGTCGCTCCGTACACGCCGGTCGTTGAAAGTAGGTGTTTTTGGACTCCCAGATCCCAATCTACATCAAGCGCCCTTCTACTTCGAGAATCGACCTGCTTTTGCTGTGTCTTGTTATTCTCTGGGAGGACCTGGACCCAGTCTACTACACCCGCCTTCCTGCTGCCTGTTTCTACCTACTTCTTTCGACCGACGTGTATGCTCCGCAGTCTTGCTGCGCTCGGTCGCGCGTCGGCTCGGCCGGCTGCCGCGCAGCTGCGTCCGCCCCGGCGCGCGCTCGGTCCGTCGGCGTCCGGTCCGCCCCGATGTCGCAGTCGGCACGCCCAGCTCCTCGAGCTCTACGGGGCCAACGAGATGCCCACCACCACCACCACCGCCACCACCACCACCACCACTACCACCACCACCACCACCACCACCGCCACCACCACCACCACCAGCACCACCACCACCAGCACCACCACCACCACCACCACCACCACCACCACCACCACCACCACCACCGCGAGACTCCTTCCGGCCTTCTGCCTTCATGCCGTCATCCTTCATGCCTTCACCACCACCACCACCACCACCACCACCACCACCACCACCACCACCACCACCACCACCACCACCACCACCACCACCACCACCACCACCACCTCCCACGCCCCGTCCCTCTCCCAGGGAAAGACGGGAGGAAGAAAAGGTTGGAGGAGGGGAGGGGGGACGAAGGTGGAAAGAGGGGAGGAAGAAAAGGCTGGAGGAGGGGAGGGGGGACGCAGGTGGTGGTGGTGGTGGTGTACGGTGGGGTTCGCGCCGCGTCGACCAGCGGCGGCCCTGCCGCGGGCGTTCGAGGTCGAGCGCCGGCGCTGGCCCAGAACGGGCGATCGGAAGGCCGCCGATCGGGCGATCGGAAGGCCGCCGATCGTTCAAGGTTGAACGATCCACACGGCGTCAGAGACCAACGCCCCTGGCATCGCTCGGACGTGTGCATTTTTTTCTCGGCGAGAACCATCGAGGAGCATCCTTGACCATCTGGCGAAAAGACCACGCACGAGACCGAACAAGAAAGCACAGGGAATGGACGTCCGAGCGATGGCGAGATCCACACGGTGTCAGAGACCAGCGCCAGGGTCGTCACGACACGAACCTGCCGTATGTTCCTGGCGCCCGCGCCGCCGCGCCACCGCGCCCGCCTCGGCTGCGCCCGGGGCCGCCGGCCTCGGCCGGCCGCGGCACTCCGTAGCCGGCACGCGGCGGCGCCTTCGACCCTCCTGTGGCCGCGCGGGGGACGCCCCCACGGCGTTGCGCCGAGAGCTCGGCCCTCCCCCGGGGTGCGCCTCCTCCTCCTCCTCCTGCTGCTCCTCCTGCTGCTCCTCCTCCTCCTCCTCCTATTATTACTACTAGTACTAGTAGTAGTAGTAGTAGTAGTAGTAGTAGTAGTAGTAGTAGTA